AACTTCTCAAGTCCACACGGTGTATCAACCATTACAAAGACCTTAAGTGAGCCTAATAACTGATTTAGTGTAGGGGACCGAGACACCCAACACTCACAAATTAAAGGTGGATTATTTACTTTGGCTCTCAGTTTGTAGAGGTTTCAGTCCATAGGTGGCACCAAGGCAGAAGAGAGGCATGGATGAGATTTGCTCGTGGCATGGCAAACAAGCAGAGAGAGGGATCGAGGGAAATACAGTATATCATTCCAGGCCATGCCTCCAGTGATCCCCCTTTCCCCCTAATCAGGCTTCACTTCCCAATACCACATTTAGGTATAAACAGATCAGTGAACTGATCTATGATGGGTATTATGCATCCGTGACCCAGTCACCTCCCAAAACCCATTATGCAGGATGCATTTAGTCCATCTCTTAAGAGTTGCCACAGCACTGCTGAAAAGCCAAAGTCAAAAGTCTCAGATTAAAGGCAATCTTGTGGCGCATGCCTGTAATCCCAGCACTCTGGAGGCTGAGCCAGGAGAATCGTTGCAAGTTCGAGACCAGCCTGGGCTACAAAGTGAGCTCAAGGCCAACCTGAACTGCATAGTGAGACCCTGTCTTAAATAGACAAAAAAACAGACAAAGGCAATCTTATGTATGAATCCTTGCAAAAATGGAAAGAAAAACACTTCCAGCATACAATGGCACAGTATAAACAATCCAATTTAAAAGGGAGAAGGGCTGGATTTAGCTCAGCGGCAAAGTGCCTGCCTGGCAAGCGCAAGGTCGTGAGTTCGGTTCCTGGTACCAGAGAAAAACAAAAACAAAAACAAAAACAAAAATAAATAAATAAAAATAAAAATAAAAGGGAGAAACAGGGATAGAAAACAATGGGATAAAAGTAAGCCTGAAACCCAAGGGCACACATTAAATCCTGTAGTTCCACTACCAGCCCCTGGGGACAGTCTGTGGAGAGATGTGAACTCCAAAGGGCTTGGGTGGTCCCACCCAATGGCTGCCAGTCGCAACCCTCATGGCTTCTCACTTGGTCTGGCTTTGCTCACTGCCTGCATCTTTTCTCAGAGGATCCATGTAACTGGCTTCTCCAACCTTCTGGGATCTCTACTGCACTTTTGGCTTCACATACTGCCCTCTCAGGGTCATGCTGCTTGGCCTCCCAAGCCTTCTTCTGAAATCTGGGTTGAAGCCTCCCTGACCCTATAACTCTTAGATTCTGCATATACCTAAAACCAGCACCATGTAGGTAATGCCAGGGTCTGCTGCTAGCTGGGGCAGTAGCTGAGCCCTTTGTATCTTGCTCATGATTGTAGAGACCTCTGAGTACCTGGATGGCTGAGCACAGTGAACTAAATCCCAGGACTCAATTCCCGTTCCTTAGGCTGCTGCCATTCTGGAGCATGGTGTTCTGGGCTCTCAAAGCAGTTCTACCTTTGCATTTCTGAGCCTACAAAGAGTGGAGCCTCATCCCTCAGTGCATTTTTCTTGTACTGTTGCAAAGTACCTAAAAGTACTTCAAGGGCTTTTTTTTTTTTTTACAGGGTCTGCCATGTAGTCCAGGCTGGCCTCGAACTTGTGGCGATGCTCCTGCCTCAACCTTGCAAGTGCTGGGATTATATGTGTGTGCCACCATACCCAGCAAGGGCTTCTTTTTAATGCTAGTCTTTTCAGCACCTAAGTTCTTTTCTATCTTTGCAGGCCCCAACTTTATTAGACCTTTCTGGCCAAATTAAAAAACTCTTTCTGCTAGGCTATTTTTTCTTGATTCACAATGTGCTAAAAGTCTCCAAAAGTACTCAAGCCATAGTCTGAATGTTTGGCTGCCTTGAAATTTCCTCCACCAGATGAATTAGTCCACCACCCTTAATCTCAGTCTCCCCCAAAATCTCAGGACATAAGTACAGTGCAGACAAATTTTCAGCCAGGGGATAACACACATGACCTGGAGTGCAGCTGTCAATGGAGTCCTTCCTGACCAAAACCTCTTGAACCTGCTCTTTTTTGGCTGCATTGCTATCAGCATTCTGGTCTTCAGAGCTCTGACCAGAATCTCCCATCAAGCTCAGCTCACAGTATATTCTAGGGCTGCTTCTCCAAACCTGGCTAAACTCCCCCAAGCCGGTTCCAAAGGTTTCTGAGCTACATGGTCAGGCAGCATCACAGCAATGACCCTACTTCTCCGGTTCCCCAGTCTGTCTTACTTTCTCATCACTGAGACACAAAACTCAACACCTGAAAATTGAAGGAGAGATTTATTTTAGCTCATGGTTTGTAGAGGTCTCAGTCCATAGTCAGCTGGCTTCAAGGTAGGGTGGCATGGCAGGCAAGAAGCAGATCAAGGGAGATACAGTATGCCATTCTAGGCCACGCCCCCAGTGACCTACTACCACCACCCAGTCCAGTTTCACCTCCCCATACCACATTTAGCTATAAACACCAGTGAACTGATCCATTATGCATCCATGATCCAGTCACCTCCCAAAAGCCTCACCGGAGACTAAGATTATAATCCATAACAGTGTTCAAATTTAAGAAGCAGTAGGAGGAAACTTTTTTGGTAATCTGAGATGAAGTATTGAAAGAAACATGAGTTAAGAACTTAGTTCTTGCACACAACCTGTTTATGTAAGCAGTTCTCAGGTCATGCCAGGATAATGTGTGCCAACATTTTTACCCCAGGGTAGAGAGCAATGTTCACCCTAAAATGCATCTTGGCACAGACTTGAGGAGAGCAATGAAGATATTCTGTCCACTTCCACCACTCCATTCTCTGAGGCTCTGAAGAAAGAAGGGGATGGACTAAGAAACTCTAGAATATTCTTTGTTTGGGGTAAAAGTCCTGAGGAGACTGCTGGTATTTCACATGGGAACATTCACTGTTCACAGATCCTTGCTTGTGGCTTTACTTCCCCTGTGGTAGGTTGAGATCGGAATTCTGAAGGGAAAGTTAGCTACAGGGAGTGAATGTTGAACCCTTACTTTATGTAAGCACTTAATAGGGGTGAGAACATTTGTGTGACCAGATGCTGCTGCATTCCTGGGTTACAGTCAGTGTTTGGCACTGCCTTTCTTGGAAGGTGTTACTTATTTGGGGTGACTTAACCCTGGTCTTGAAACTACAGAAGGGTATTTACAGGAGGTCCTTTGAAATGCAGAATAAAAGTAAGAAAAATGTACAACAGAAAAAAACTAACAGCCTTCCCCCTCCCTAATCTTTTTTTCTTGTGTGTGCCAGGAATTGAACTTAGGACCTTGCACTTGCCAGGCAGGCACTTATGCCACTGAGCTATATCCCTGCCCCTCACCCCCCAATCTTGACAGTCTAAAGTTTTGTAGGTTGCTGCAGAAGGATGAGTCTGGAAGTTACCCACTGTTGCCTTTGCAGCCACTTAGCTGCCTAGTATTAGATTCCAGGCATGGCATGAGCAGTCTAGTGTTTGCAGAGGCATTTCTCAGAGCCACTGCATGGCAAGTATTTGAAGAGGAGCCAGGCGGTCACACTAGGAAAGAGCAGCTGAGAAGCTGAGAGGGCCTATAGTGTACCATGCAGAAAAAAATAAGCACAAGGGGCATTTTCAGTGTCACACACCATAACTGCATAAATGGAGTGTAGAGAACCCAGTGGGCCTGGCTTCTGTTCACAGACAACTCTGTTCCCCTAGAGTGAGCAGGCAGTGCCAGGAGTTTATGCTTATGCTTTTTGTCCTATGTGACCTTTGCTCCGTGGCTGAGCGCTGCTTCAAACCACGGCTTGAGCTAGGCCTGGTGGCGCACGCCTGTAATCCCAGCACTTGGGAGGCTGAGGCAGGAGGATTGTTGTAAGTTCGAGGCCATCCTGGGCTACGAAGTGAGCTCAAAGCAAATCCGAACTGCATAGCAAGACCCTCTCTTAAAAAGACAAAAACAAAAACAAAAAACCAAGGCTTGAAGCTTGGTGCTGGTGGTGCTGGTGGTGCTGGTGATGCTGGTGCTGCTTCTGGTGCTGGTGGAAAGGTAGAATTGGTGCGTGCCCCTGGGTTAGGGCGCCCCGGCCGGCAGAGGGCGCAGAGATGCCTTTTGACCAAATGGCAGGGGATGGAGAAGGGGGGGCGGTTAAATTAAATTCACAGCGAATAACATCCAGTCCTGGGAATTAAAGGATCAGAGCGGGCCTGAGCTGCTCACTGTGAGGATAGGAGGCAGTAGAGATCCCGGGGACAAAAAGAAACGGAAATTTTCTGTGTGCCTTCCCACAGCCTCCCCTCCTCCCTGGCAGTTTAGCAGTTTGTTTCAAGGATGAGGAGCTGGGAACAGACTTGTTGCCTCGGTTTCCCGCTCAGCTCTTGGGACGGGAGCCAATCTTCCTAGCTCGGGGCCGAAGTAACCCTTGGGCCTGGGTCTTAAGGGGTTTGTGAAAACCCGCAGTGAGCCGTTGTCTTCCCTGCTCACGGGGGAAGACAGTATCCGCGGGACCCCGCGCGGCGCTGTCCTGGGCCGCCTCCAGGGGAGCGCGGGAGAGGGGCCGAGTTGGATCGCGCAGCCGCTGGGGCGAGCACTGGCTTCTTCCGCAGCTGCGCTCCCACACTGCGGACCCGGTGCCCTGAGAAAGCTCTGCTCCCGCGTCCTTCAGGAGGCCCTCGTTACTCCACAGGACCCCTAAGCTTGCAGCGGGTTATTAGTGAGGGGAGCCTCAAGGCTTTTAGAGTGTCCAGGGTGCGGGCGCTCCCAGATGTCAGTCGCTCCCCCAAACGCCCTCCCTAGTACCCTCCCCTACCGGCGGGGTACGTGTGTGATGGTTCAGGACCCTCCTCTTGCCTTCTTGCCCCTGGGCCGGCTCCTGGGGCACCTCGACTTATCCAACTCTAGCCTGCAGCTTGACGGGGAGAGGCGGCGGGATCCAGTCTGCCAGCGCTGGAAGATCCCGATCCCCAGCCCCACCCCGCGGCGAGCCTCCTCTCGCCCAGCCTGGGAGCGCTCGACCTCTCCGCCCCTTCGAATGTCCCGCCCCCTGTCGCCCGGTCCCCACCCCACCACCCGCACGCACCCGCGGACTCCGGCTGGAGCCGCCCTTGGTGACGGTCAGTGGCCTGGCTCCCGTGCACGATCCGCCTGTCGCGCAGCCTCCGCACCTGTCGGACGGTGCGTCCCGGAGCGAGAGCCCTGACTCGGTTCTGACGAGGGAGGGTCATGATTTCACTGCCTGAACCCCCTGCCACCAACTGGCCGCTGTTTTTGTTCCTGGGGCTCAGTATTCTCGGTGAGTCAAACCCGGGACCTAGAGGGGTCTTGGGAGGCACGAGGGGTGAATGTTGGCCCTGAGGGGACTTCGGGCACTGATGAGAAACTGGTCTGGACGTGACTCCTGCTTCGCACTCTCGCCCCCCACCCCGGCCCTGGCATCACTGGCTGGTGCTGATTTATCTCTGCACTGTAGCCGGGACGGCTCCTATTTTGCGGGAGTAAGAGCATCTCCAGGCTCGACCCAGAATACTGTGGGCTGAGACACAGGAATCATTCCCCGCCCCACTGCTTCCCCTCACTCCTCAGGGCATCTTCTGGCGAGACTCAGCTACCTCTGGTGCAAGTGACCGGAACTATCCCTCCCCCACTCCCCGCCCCTACTCAGCAGAGCTGGATGAGCTGAGGCGATAGATGAGACACCGACTAAAGAGCTTAAGGACTTAACTCCAGTCCCGTCTGTGCCCCGACCCCACACACAAGCTGATGCCAAGATCCCAGGAGAATGCCCTGGCCCTCAGGCTTGACACACAGACTTCACGTCAGTTCCCCAGCCCAGTTCCTCCCTCTTGCCCCCTCCTGCTTCCTGCTCTGGAAATAATGGGAGGTGTCCCCAAAGCATGACCGGGAGGTCGTTTGGACACAGGAAATGGGGGAAGGGTTCAACAGCGGAGAGGAACAGAGTTGTGACACCCCCCTTCCCTTCCAGGTCCACCACCTCTTTGATTCCCTGACTCAAAGGGACAAGGAAAATGGGGAAGAGGGGATAATGGGAGAGGAAAGGAACCTCTCAGAGCAAGTGCTTAGTGAATGTTGAAAGCCTCAGGGGCACCTAGCTTCACTGGGAGCTGAGGTGGTCCAGTACTGCATCTGGGAAGAAAAGGACCCCATAAGAACAATGCCCATTATAAGCTATTCACTTGCTGCCTTCCAGGCTGTTCTGCTATTCCCTTTCAGGAGTCCCAATCTAGGTTTGGGGACCTCAGCTTTAACTCATTTTTTCTCAGTTTGGAGGAAGATCGGTTAAGTGGGGGCAGGAAGGAGGACATACAGAGTGAAATTCAGCCAGAATGATGGTATCCACCAGCTCCTGTCCATGTCTGCTTTGGTCTGGTCTGTTGGGCGTGAAGTACTAGGATTCCCAAACAAACGGGTCTCCTGAGCAGACCCCCAGCCACGCCAGAGCCTGGACAGCTTGGGGCTATGCAGACTTGATAGACCTCATCCGGGATCCCTCCGCTTCTCACCACTGCTTTCTCAACTTCAACCTCAACCGCTTTCCCTTCTGCACTCTACCCCAGCTCCCCTACACCTCTCCCAGACGGTGGGTCTCCAAGCATGGAGAAAAAGCTATGCTCCTTGTCTGCTCATTCCCAACCCCAGCTCCAAGCCTCAGCTTGGTTCCTGGAGGTCCAGACTTACTGTTCCCACCGGCTGCCCTGGAGGTTACCCAGCTGCTGCCCTGCCTGGTGCTGGACTGTTAAGTCCACCCACATGGAGCAGGCACCCGGCTCTGCTAGGCCCGCATGCTCGTCCTGACTCGTCAAGGCCCTCCTGCCCTGCCTAGGCTGCTCAGCCTCCTGCCCCTGGGGCGTGAGAAGCCTGCAGGGGGAGTTTCTCAGAGAAGAGGGAGACTAAAAATAGTAGCCCTGGGGAGCAGGCCCGTTTCGGCCTTTCCCTGCTCTCAGTGAGCTAGATGGTCACTTTCTTGGGCTCCTGCGTCCTTCGCTGGGACCCACTCCCCTCCGGGTGGCACCCAAGATGCTGCATGGGAAAAGTGACGTCCAGTTGGAACCGGAGCTTCTGTTCTAGCAGACACCTGGAGCGAGGGTGGCTCCTCAGTTCTCTGGGTAAAGGGCGGAAGCATTTACCCAGACCCTCGTGTGTCCCTTACTGTGTGTTTAAACCCCCTTGCGCTACGTTTTTTGCAAAGTACAATTATAAATGAGGCCCCGGACGGAGTTAGTCCCTTAGGCTCCCATGGTGGTTACAGGTAGTTTTCTGGTGAGAACCTTTTCTGGCCTCAAGAGTGAGCGCAGAGAGCCCGGGGAAGAGCCACCACGTTCCGAAGGCTCCTGTGTGTCCCGCTTTAGCAGAACAGCCGCCAGCTAGGTCCCCAAGGGGCTTCGAGCTCCTTGAGGGCGGATTGTTTTTGGCTGTAGGGCCTCCGGTCTAGCGGCCCCCCTTTCATTGTCTTCTGCCTTATCGGCCGGGCACAAGTTTCCTGCCAGGAAATGAGAAGGGGGGTGCTTCGACGTGTAAGGAATCAGGCGGGAGTTCTGCAAAGACGCGAAGCAGCGGGAAAGCGGTGGGGGTGGCGCGCGTCCTGCCTCACGACTCCCGGCGCAGGAGGCCTTCAGCCCGGCTCTGCGAGGGCGGAGAGTCCACAGCTGCCGCCCCGCCTGCTCACCTCCGGGACGGCGCCCCGTCCCCTAGGAGGCGTAGGGTCCAGGACGAGGGTCGACAGCGTCCTCAGACGTGGCCGGGTCCTAGCTCGAAGTCACTTCCCAAAGGGCTTTTAGCCTCCATTGCCTCCCCGAAGGGCACAAGTTGAGGGTCCCAAGCGTTAACCACGCAACCTCACATCCGAGTCCACCTCCGACTCGCTGCGCATCCGCAGAGGAAGTCTTCTCGTCCCAAGACTGACGTTTGCCCTGCCTGTAATTCCCTGCACCCCACAGGATCCACCCAGATCACCCGGACCCCAAAAGGGCACTTGAGGACTTTCTGGGTTCCAACTTTTCGCTTAGCTAGGCAGTCCGGGGTACCTCAGTCACAGCGCTAGCCCTGCTCAATGGGGAGCCTTCGGCCTCGCAGAATACCCGCTGTTCAGGAAGAGCCGAGGGTTTAAAGAGTAACCCGGCGGCTTCCCAGCCCCTTCTGCCCATCGAGTTGAGAACTCTAGAGCAAGGAGCTCTGGTGGTCCCAAACACCATCACCAGCTGCTCCCCTTGCCTCTTGCCCAGGGAAATTGGGGGAGTAAGTGCGCAACGTGGGGTGTATATCAAAAGTAATAGACCTGCCCTTTCTCCTGTTCTCTTCTCCTCCTAAATGGAAATCTGCCCTCTCTGCTGGGTGTTCAGAATATATGCTTCTGGATACGAATACATGCATAGAAACGTGTTCCCAGCACTAGAAACCCATGGGCAGCCGATGGGAAGCAGGAGTCTGGGTCAGCAGCCCCCGGGCACCCTCGATGCCACCAGTATGTGCACTGGCAAGGTTTGTCCTTGTCCTTCACACTACCCTCTTCGGGGGGCCCTATGGGAGCTCACGCCTTGCTCTGTCTCCAGCTTACCCCTCGAGGGCCCAGGTGAAGTTGCACATGCCTGCTGGCCTTACGAAGCTGCAGGCCGTGGAGGGAAGAGATATAGTGCTCCCAGCCTGGTACACCCTGGAAGGAGAGAAGCTTTCGGGCCGACCATGGGAAGTGCCCCTGCTCATGTGGTTCCTGGAACAAAAAGGGAAGAAGGAGCTAAAGCAGGTAAGGGGAAAATATCCCAGGCAGTGGTGAGCACGGAGCCCCGCTGGGATGCAGGGAAGAGCTCGCAAGGATGGGAGGGATGGCCAGAGAAGGGGGTGCGGAGAAGGAATTCCGGAAACAGCAGGTGTTCTCGCAGTGTCAGGGTCCGTCTTCTCATCTTGAATACTTCCTCCAAAGCCTTCTCTATCCCCCAAGTTCCCCTAGAAATCCAGCACACAAAACACCATTGAGAGGGTTGGAGTGGTGGTGCATGGCTGTGTAGTTCCAGCCCAGAGGACCACAAGCTTGAGCCTAGCCTGGGGAATTTAACAAGACCCTGTCTCTAAATAAAAAAAAAATAGGGCTGGGGATTTAGCTCAGCGGCACAGCACCTGCCTGGCAAGCGCAAGGTCATGAGTTTGATTCCCGATACAGGGAAAAAAAGCCAAAATAAATAAATAAATAAATAAATAAATAAGAGGCCTGGGGATTTAGCTCAGTGACACAGAGCCTGCCTGGCAAGCTCAAGGTCATGAGTTCGATTCCTGGTACTGGAAAAAACCAAAAAAATAAAAAAAATAAAAGCAGGAATGGGGAGCTTGGTGTGAAAGCCATGGGTTCAATACCCTGGTGTGTGTGACATGACTTTAAAAAACGCAACGTGTTTCTCTGCTCACATTCTCTGTGCTTTGGACACTGTCAGGTACAGGCTACTTTCAGGAATAATTATCACCTGTCATCTTGCCCCTTTGTACCTGGAGAGGCAAAGGGTATTTCCTCCCACATCTCACACCTCTTCCCTTCACGAGCAAGACTCAAGGCTGGTTTACCCAGAAGCAATGAAGCATTTTCAGAACCCCTCACTTGTATGGATTCCTGCCAGTGTCCTGGAAAGTGTGTTCAATAAAGTCATTTGATCTTTTTAAAAGGATGTTTCTATCTTCTTTTTGTTAAAGATGCCCCTTCCAGTTGTATAAATTTCAAACTCTATAAAACCTAGATCTATTCTGCAATTTTAAGTTCTTTATGTCCTCCCTTCTTTGATTATTCACTCTTCTAAGTGCCCCTAGTGGGAAGTAAGTGACAGTCCTTAGGGGAATAATACCTTGGCATAGTGAGGGGTAGCCCAGGAGAAGGCTGAGAACAGGAACTGGTTCAGTCAGAGAAATGGTGTGAGTGAGGGTCACACAAAGAATGTCAGTTTTGGGAAAAGGGACTGGACCACCCTGTAGGCATAGTGCATCATGGAATAACAAGAAGGTGTCTTGACCCCACCAGGTGTTGGCCTACATCAATGGTACCGTGTCAGGCAACCCTGGAGTATCCCTGGTCTACTCCATGCCCTCCCGGAACGTGTCCCTGAGGCTGCAGGGCCTCCAGGAAAAAGACTCTGGCTCCTACAGCTGCTCCGTGAATGTGCAAAACAAGGGCCATGACAGCAAAACTGTGGAACTCAGCGTGCTGGGTGAGTGAGAAGCACACACTTCCAGATCCCTTCCCACCCCACAGGAGTTCAGGTGGGTCTCTCTCCCAAGGGGCAAGGACGGGGCAGGACATCCAGTGACACATGGGGTGTGTGTGGGTCCCTCCTGTCTCACGGTGTGGGTTTTAACCTGTTTTCCCTTCCTCAGTTCCTCCAGCGACTCCATCCTGCAGTCTCCTGGGTGTGCCCCGGGTGGGGGCCAACGTGACCCTGAGCTGCCAGTCCCCAAGGAGTGACCCTTTGGCTCAGTACCAGTGGGAGCGGCTGCCCCCACTGGCTCAGGTTTTCTTTGCACCGGTTTTAGGTGAGGGAGTTTCTGGAAACACTCAGGCTGTGGCTGGAGAAGGGGTGGAAGAGTGGTGCTGCAGGACTGGGGCGGAAGGGGGAAGCAATGCTGGAAAGGGCTGGGGAGGAGCAAGAGGAGAGGCGAGGAAGATGGCCTGCCAGGTGCAGGCGCTGGGACGGGTGCTTTCCTGTATCACAGACTGTTACACTAAAGAGGCTCTGGAGCTGGACTGCCTGTGTTCATGTCTAGCTGTGCCACTTAATAACTTCGTAAAGTGGTTTATCAATATTTGTGATTGGAACACATCAGCTAAAAATGTTTTAGAGACAACTGGAAAGTTTTTAATATGAATGGTTAAATGAGTATGGAGATTGTAATCAATTTCTTAGGTATAGCAATGGTATTGTGGATATGTGAGATGATGTTCTTATTTTTTTAAAGATGCACACGGAAGTATTGCTTTTAAATGTTAGAGAGAGAAATGAAATAAGTACTCATAAAGTGTTAGCAACTTTTGGATCTAGTTGGTGGGTATATAGAGTTTTTATTTTGTGCTTCTACTTTTCATTTGATGTTTTGTGTTTGTTTGCTTGCTTTTTTTTGGAAGGATTTTTTTGCGGGGGCGGGGGGAGTTTAGGAATTTGACCCAGGGCCTTGCACATGGCTAAGAATGTTCTGTATCACTGAGTTACCCCCCCAGCCTCATTTGACCATTCTGATAAAAAAAAAATCCTGTTCTTTTTTGAATAGAAATTTAACTGGAGAGGGGCATTGAGCTAGCTGCAACTGGAAACACAGTCCATGATACCCTTCCCCTCCCACAGGGAACAGAGAAGTGGTGACTCCCAGAGTGAAATTCACATTCCAGAAGAAGGGAAGGATTTTTTTTTTTCCCCAACAAGGGAAAGAAGGTCCCTGGACTGATGGCTAAATTGTATCCACAGATAACATCCGTGGGTCTTTAAAGCTCACCAACCTTTCCACTTCCATGTCTGGTGTCTATCTCTGCACGGCCCACAATGCAGTGGGCAGTGCCCACTGCAATGTGACCCTGAATGTAATCACAGGTTAGTGAGGGGTAAGTGTGGTCCTCAAGAAGAGTACTCAGTGGTGGGGGTGGCTTCGCAGGTTTTAAAGGCCTCTCATTGTAATAGAATAGGGAGCTTCCCCTGATCAAAGGTTTGTGCACATTTGGTCAATGGCTGGCAGTTTTCTGCTTGACAGCCTCCCATCTTAGCAGAGAAGGGAAAATGTGGACAGACAATGACAGTGGGGAAGGGGGATTGGAGAGGAACAGAGAACAGCTGGGTGCCCCCTCTGACAGCAAGGCATTTCTAGGGTCAAGAGCTGCAATGATTGCTGGAGCGGTTGTGGGGACTCTGGTTGGATTGGTGCTGCTGGTTGGCCTGGTCCTCTTGTACGAACGCCAGCACCGGGGCAAGGTCCTAGAGGATGTACCCAATGATATCAAGTAAGTGTTCCTGGTCTCTGCTAAGGTGGAGGCTGTCCTAACTCCCCTCACCAAGTCTGGGAATTCAGGCAGCTCCTATCTAATGGAAGGGTGGACAGTAATCAGAATAGCATTCTTTTTTATTTTTTGGTTCTTTTCCAGTACCAGGAATAGAACTCATGACCTCGTGCTTGCCAGGCAAGCGCTGTGCCACTGAGCTAAATCCCCAGCCCCCAGAATAGCATTCTTATGGGTAGATTTTAAGGGAAATGAAGAGAAGGGTTGAAGTGTGTAGATGGAGGCAGGGGGTAAGACAAAGCATGCAAAAACTCGCTCCTTCTTTTCCCTTCTTCTGACCTCTTGTTACTTCTTTGATGACTAGGGAGGATGCCACTGCTCCGAGGACCCTGACCTGGTCCAAGGGTTCGGACACACTCTCCAAGAACGGAACTCTTTCCTCTGTTACCTCAGCACAAGCCCTCCGGCTGTCTCACACCGCTCCCAAGCCTGGCACACTGACCCCCGTGCCTGTGCCTAGCGTCTCCGCTCAGGCCCTCCCCTCACCAAGACTACCCAAGACAGATGGGACCAACCCTCAGCCCGTGACCGTCAACCCTGGTGGGCTTTCTCACTCTGCTCTGAGACGCATGGGTGCGGTAAATGTGATGCTACCTCCCCAGACTCAGGATGGGTCTCTGGTGTGATGGCTCAGGCACTCACATCTTGTAAGGGTCAGCCCTAGAGCACAGACCTGAGCCCTGGGAGAGCAGCCATACTCCAGACCTCCTGTCTTCCAACCTCACCTCTCTTCACTCTGGGAAAACTGGGTTTGAGTAAGACCCAAATGTCCAGGAAGTCACAGGAGAAGAGGAATTGAACCTGGGTTTGGTTGAGGGAGGAGGGCTCCACTCTTCCTTAAGCCAGCTGAATCCTGCTGAGATCGCCTGATCTCCAAGGGCCCTGGAGAAGCTGCCAATCTATGAGCTCCCCAGCCTTCTAGGATCTGTACCCCACCCCATCTAATGCCATCCCTTGCTGCCTCCAGCTCCTTGCATTAATGTCCTGCTGGCCTGGTTGGATTTGTTAGGGCAGAGGATAGGAAAGGCATTTTTAACACTAACTCCAAATGTCTTTTTGTTTCTATTTTGCAAATTTCAATAAAGATACACTGTGTTTATATGGAATAAGAATCAAATACCCTTTTCCTACTGAGAATTCCTGGAAGTTGAGCTTCAGGAAGATGTCAGGTGAACCCTAGTCACACTGTGCACCCAGGGGAGCTTTTCCTCAATGCTCAGACCTTGCTGGCTTAGGATAGCTCTTGTGGGGTCCTTGAAAAGGTAATTTGTTGACCTGTGGAAAGGGGAGGCACCGTGAGCATGAGGCTAGGAGCCCAGGCGGCACAGTCTGAAGAGCAAGGGCAGCAAACTGGCTGGTCACTTGCTGCTGAAGCTTTGGTACAAAGCGTTAATCCTGCTGGTGTTCATGAACTTCAGCTCTTCTTCCTCTCCAGGGCAGGTGAGAGGAGACTTCACAAACACAGCTTCTTCCCTCTGTGCTGCAATCCCTCTTGGTACCCGGGGACAGTTGGGCAGAGGGTGTGCTGTAGGTTTATGACTGAATACTGCCATGTCCTCTCCTGCTGAGGCTGGGAGGTCTCTAGGTCTCAGGTTCTCTGCCCATGGAGTGGGGTACCTCTGGGAATAGGGAGTTGGTATAATCTCTTTGGAGACTTCTATCCCAGCACATAGTGCAAGAGGGGCTTGGGAAGGACAGGGATCTCGGAAGTTGCCACAAAGTATCTTCACCCTGAGACAAGATGGTGGAGTCATTTCCAGCACTTGGTATCAGAATCTCCTCTTCCTCCAAAGACACTTTCCTTGTGGAGCTCCAGTTCAGGGCCTCTGCCCTCAGTGTGCCTTACCTCCAGACCAGCCTTTTTCCCAGGGCCTGACAGTGGCAGACATTGGAAGAAGGACGCAGTGAGAAGGAAGCCAGGCTGGAGGGACTCTAGAATTGGACCTGGAGGAGGGAGGAGCGTTTGCTTACCTGAGAGTGCTGGCCTCTCCCCTTGTTTGCTCTGAGATAGCAGGGCTAGCTCCTGCCCAGCACACAGAGGCTCCCTTTGGGCACTCCCTTTCCTTCCTGAGACTCACAGACCCACACAGACCAACGCACGGAGCTAGGTGGCCATGGCCTGGCTCCCTGGGCCTTTCCTCTGCAGGACCCTGCTGGGTTTCCTGTGCCTGAATGGTAAGGAGGGGCTGGGCGTCTGCGCCAGAGCTGAGTGGGGTGGGGGCCTTGCTTCCCTGAGTCCTCAGAATCTGCTCCGTCCCCCCCGCAGTGGGCTGGAGCTGCCCTGAGTAGCAGGGACCCAGGAGGTGCCTGTGAGAGGCTGGAAAGGGGTGAGGGTGAGGTAGGGGCCATGGAGGCCGTGAGGGCAGAGGAGGAGAGAGGTAGACAGTCGGGCTTGGTAAGTTTGGCCTCTTTGTCCAAACAGGAGTATCATTTCCTTTTTCTGCCAACTCATGCTCATACCCGGCCCAGTCTTGGCCCTTTTACCCACAAAATCTCAGCTGGGCTGTGGGGCCCTCCCTCCCTCCCTCTGGAAACCTCAGGCTTGGAGACGGAGTGAATGGATTGAGGGGAAGAGGCAGCAGCACACCGGGGAGCTTTCAGCCTCCGGCTTAGGGTCTGGGGTGAGGGTCGGAACCTCCAGTGCACCAGGATTGGGGTCCAGACCACCCTCTTCATCCTCAGCCCCAGGGCTGGCCGTGGAAGTGAAGGTGCCCACTGAGCCACTGAGCGTGCCCGTGGGCAAGACTGCCGAGCTGGTCTGCAGCTATAGCACGTCCGTGGGAAGCAACTTCGCCCTGGAGTGGAGCTTTGTGCAGCCTGGGAAACCCATCTCTGCGTCGCATCCCGTGAGCTGAGAGCAACTGTGTGCAGCGGGGTGGCCAGGAATAGAGGGCTCGGCCAGGATGAATTGGGTGGGAGTGGTGTGGCGTCTGGGGATCAGCTGGGATAAAACAACTGGGCTCTTCCTAGGCCTGCAGGGCTGCAGTCTATGTGGCCCTGTACCATCCTTTCCTCTCCCATAATTCCTATACCCACTCCCTTATGCTGTGAAGCCTCAGTTTCAGTTACTAAACCCACTGACACTGACATATCGCACTTGATGTGGTGCTGTGTTATCCCTTCACGGTTCAGGATAGAGGGTATCCACCTCCCTCGCTGTCTAAGTGAGCAGACCCATTTGCACTTCTAAGCAGAAGGACTGTAGAGTTGATGTCCGGCAGAAAAGGGAACATAGGTGTGTGTCTTCTGACTTTTCTCAGATCTTGTACTTCACCAATGGCCACCTGTATCCCACCGGTTCTAAGGCAGAGCGGGCCAGCCTGCTCCAAAGTCCGCCCACAGGAGGGGTGGCCACCCTGAAACTGGTGGATGTCCGCCCCTCAGACACTGGAACCTATCTCTGTCATGTTAACAACCCACCAGATTTCTACACCAATGGTCTGGGACTAATCAACCTTACTGTGCTGGGTAAGACAAGCTGGTGACCCACTAGCCACCTACTTGTGCTAGAAGTACGCACTGGCCATGCTAGGTCTCCTCGTGTCTTGCTCGCCACCCAAGCACACAACTGCACTGGAGACCTCAAGAAAAAATACCCATTTCCCAAGACTTCTAATCTAGATGGTCCCACTCCAGCTCTACAGAATGTCTCCTCCCTTAGGGCCTGAGAGAGAAGCCCTTCCCATATATGGGGATGGAGTCACACCCATCCAGCTCCACCGGGGAGGAAACTCCCTTTTGCAGCTGAATTTGGTTTTTGTCCCTCCCAACCTCAGTGGCAGAGAAGGGAAGTGGCCATTAAAGGAACTAGGCCCCCCAGTACTGAGCAACATATTCTGTTCAAAGCTTCCATCTCACCCTAAATCAGAGCCTGCTCAGAAGTAGGCAACCAGAAGCTACTACCAAGGCCAAAGACATTTAGATAAAAAAAATACAAGACTTGGCATGTGATGTGTGACTACTACGTGCAAATATCTAAAGGGCTTTGTCATATGGAGGAGAGGTTTTAATTTTTCTTTGTGGGGTCAGAGGACAGGAACTGGAGCTAATGAGTGGATATTGTATTGACGCAATTTTGGCTCGCTATGAAGAAGAGTTTTCTAACAATCAGAATTGCCAATAGTGGAAACGACTTCCTGGGAATGTGCTGATAGAGAGAAGGGGACCACTGTTGAGCAGTGGTGTTCAAGCAGGAGACTCAAGCATTCAGTGGACATGAGGTTAGAAGATTTCTGACTGCTCTGTGGTTTTTGCAGTGCCCCCCAGTAGCCCCTCATGCAGTCAGAGTGGGACGGCTTTTGTGGGAGGCTCTGCGGCACTGAGATGCAGCTCTGCCCAGGGAGCTCCCAAGCCCGTGTACAGCTGGGTTCGCCTTGGATCTTTTCCTACGCCTTCTCCTGGCAGTGTGGTTCAAGGTAAGGACCCAAGGCATCAGAAAGAGGTGCCTAGAGACCTGAGCAAATCTGGTCTGTAACCCTTATGTATCCATACTGCAAGTTCCGTGACCAGTATGGGACAAACCACCCTACTTTCCCCTGCTTCTTTGTATTGTTCTCTTTCTGCCTTCCTGCATAGTCCATGGCTGGGCTCCTGGGGGCATTTCTTTTTCTTTTTGTTTTTTGAGACAGAGTGTCACTGTGTAGTTCAGACTGGCCTTGAATTCACATTACTTCAGGCTGGCCTTAAAACTTGCAGCAATCCTCCTGCCTCAGCCTCCCAAGTGCTGAGATTACAGACGTGCACCACCACGCCCACTCCCTGGGAACATTTCTGAAGTAATGTCCTGATATCCTGAAAGAGTGCAGAGGGTAGGGGACATTCTTATGATTCCTACTTGTTTACTTTTGGAGGATTCCTTTTAATTTCTTAAGGTTTATGAATCACTTCCAGACTTCCTGAAGAAGAAACTGAGGCAGAATAGCACAGACTGACTTGAGTCATCTTGCTAGTTTACTTGCAGGAGTCACATTCTTAGGTGCCTTAGCTTCTTAGTTTATTTTTGCTGGGTTCAGTGGCCTGGTCTCTCCCTGTAGCCCCAACCTCAGAAAATCCTTGTATCAATCCAGACCCACTTCCCTGCATTACTTCCTGATATGTACTCTTCCCCCTCAAGCAAAAGTCAGAGTTTGTAGAAACACCCGAGTCAGCTCAGAGCCACTCCAGAAGATAGATTTTTAGGAATCAAGCTTTTTACTCCCAGCAAGGAATCTGACCCCAGCTAGTACGTATATCACCCCAATTCTATGGCCTTTGTGTGTGGCGCTCTCCAACTCCTGAAAGGGCAGCTATGTGTGGTAGAAAGAACACAGATGTGGCTGTGGCTTTGGAATTAGTCTCTAGATCATCTCAAACAAATTGCTTTTTCTAAGCCAGTTTTCCCACCAATCAAATGAGGTGAGGCCTCCTTTGGCAGGATTGGTACAAGGATGAAATGAATTGCCCTTCCCTCGTATCAGGTGCTCACTGTGAGGTGGGTGAGCTGTGGCACACTTCCTCCTCATCCTCTAGATGAAGTGTCTGGCCAGCTCATTCTCACCAATCTCTCCCTGACCTCCTCGGGCACCTACCGATGTGTGGCCACCAACCAAATGGGCACTGCATCCTGTGAGCTGACCCTCTCTGTGACCGGTAGGGGACGTTGGGAAGAGGCCAGGCTGGAAGCCGTGGCTTGGGGAGGCTGCATGAAGCTGTTTGAGGGTGGGCCAAAGAAGTTCTGCAACTCTGAAAGTCCTGTGTATCCTTAGGTCCCTCTGAGGGCCGAGTGGCTGGGACACTGATTGGGGTGCTTCTGGGCGTATTGCTGCTGTCAGTTGCTGTGTTCTGCCTGATCAGATTCCAGAAAGAGAGGAAGACGACACCCAAGGAGACATATGGTGGTAGTGACCTCCGGTGAGCAGGAGGGCTAGAGGCGTGCAGAGGGAGGAATAGGCTTGGGTTCAGAGTAAATGCTGTCAGCCTTCACTTGTCAGCGGTAAGGAGTGCTGCTCGGCTTTTGGTGGTGGCAGGGCAGCATAACCTAGTGTATGTGTAAGATGCACAGGGTGGAGGGGCTGGGACAGGCGTGGCTCAGTTTCAGGACTACACTGACCCTCCTCATACTTAAAATATTTACTTTCTCTTTTTTTTTGAGACAAGGTCTCACTGTGTAGTCCAGGCTGCCCTCAAGCTCACATCTATCCTTTTGCCTCAGCCTCCAAGGGCTGAGATTACAGGCGTGTGCCACCACGCCTGGCGACTTTCACAATTTTTAAGGTGTTTTCATATGTATGTTATCCATTTGGAAGTAGTTGGAGTGAACTGCATTTCACTCAGTTGAGTTTAGTTCTGTGGAGCCATCAGGAAATGAGCTCAAATATGCCTCTGTCATCCACTTCAGCTGCAAGACCTGGGGTCCTGAATGGGTGTCAGAGCAACCTTTCAAAAAGAAAAAAAAAAGCAGAATCCATGTGCATGTGCGTGCATCTGGGAAACATGGGGCCTGGAATCTTTATTTTAACGCAAGTTCCATAGATGATTTTTGGGTACCATAAAAATTTAAAATCCCTGGGTTAGACTATAGTCATCCTCTGAAGGATGGGTCTGTCTGCAGTAAAAATGTGTCTGTCTCCATCAGGGAGGATGCTGTGGCTCCTGGGATTTCTGAGCAGGCTTCTCCACAGGCTGATTCTAGGAAAGGCCTCTTGGAGAGGTCCCCGTCTGCCAGCACTGCGACCACCACCAAGTCTGCTAGCACTGAGACAACTACCAAGTCCAGGCTCCCTATGCTTTTGTGACTTCTCCACTTCCCAGAAGAGGATTGGTGGAGGGGATACCAATGATTAAAGCCTTTGGGGTACCATTTTGTTCGTCTTCTTTTGCCAATGTAATCAATCTCTCCTGGCAATCCAGAAATCACCCGTTTAGGGAAGGAATGTGTGTGACGTCCCAGAGGCCATGCGGTAAGCAGGAAGTCTGCTTGGGTCAAAGGGATAGGTTTCAACCTAAGTGCTGCTCCACCTAACCTCCCTCCGCTTTGCAGTTTTAGCGAAGATTTGTTTAAGCTCCAAACGGTGGCCTGATGCAGCACAGCCTCCCCGACCCCCCAGTCCCCGGCACCTTCAGAACACTTGGACATTCCTCTTTATTGTTCACATTCCAACCCAGCACAGTCACATGCACACGCGGAGATTAAAAACCTTCCGGCCACAGCCCCAGGAGCCCGGCGGGGCTGGGCCGGCGGGGGGCAGGGGCGGGGCCATGGAAGACTCCTCCTACCGAGCCTCCAGGCGCTCGGCGTTTGCATAAACAACTGGAGAGCTGGAGAGGCTACTCTCGGGGTGCGCTGAGGATCGGGAAGGGGACATAACAGGCAGGTGTAGACTAGGAACTTCCCTTCCGATCAGAGCATGGGGCATCCTACACCATGAAAACCCTCTGCTTGCTCCAGATCCTAAGTTCTGGGGCCGGGCCAGGGCGGGAACTGCACAGAGACGCAGGGCGCCCCCTTTCGCTGCGCGCAGAACGCAAGGACTTTTTTTCTTTTTCAAATGAGTGACTCGCAAGACGCTCAGGGCGCCCTCCGCAGTGTGCGCAAGGGAGCGCACCGAGGCTGCAGAGGCACAGCTGCATGCTGGGTGCAGGGAGAGGTGGGCGAGAAGCGAAAGAAGAGGATTTGGGAGCGCGGGGCTTGGGAATAGGGTGGGGAGGGAACGCGAATGGGGACCACGTTAGACTGGAGCGCTAACTAAAAGGGCGCGGACTTGGCAACTCCGCGACGAAGCCTGCCTGGGAGAAGGGGTCTCTGGGACGCTGGGGGCTCCTGAAGCTGGCAGGTTGGTGGCAAAGAGGGGGTCACAACACGGTAGGAAATTCTCGTCACTGCGAAGGGGACGCGGCATCCATCTCTCCTCGGGAACTGAGGAGAGAGAAGGTCTGACGGCCCGTCTTCCCCTGGTCCTTATCTCCCCCGGCCACCTCCCTTTCTGAACAGGGTACCAGGTCCAGGAGGGGCAGGGGCCTCCAGGCACCCAGAACCCCGCCCCCCAGCCCCCCATCAATGAGCTGAAGCGAGCCCGTGGCGGGTACGTGAGGGAGCTGCGGTGCGCACGGCCCTCGGGCGGCCTCCTGCAGTCAAATGAGGGCGGCTGCATGTCTGGGTTGGCCCAGGTGTGTCCCTGTCGCAGCCTCGGGCATCGGCATGCATCTGAAAACCCGCGGGTGCGTGTGCCCGGTTGGGAGGGGGTGGGGTGGACAGAGGGGAGGGCTGGGGAACTGGTCCTCTTCGTCTCCTAGCACCTCCCCACCCCCGCAGCTTCGGATCGGGTTCCTTACCTTCGAAAATGTTCAGTTCTTCGGTCCAGGGCGGAGCAGAAGGGCAGGCAGAGAGGGAAAAACAGGTGAGCTCTTGGGATCCGCCTCAGCCTTAATCTCTTTCCCCCCACCAGTCTCGGTCTTAGTCCCCCACCCTTTGCTCCATCCCCTTCTGCACGCAGCTCGTCCTTAGGCTTCCCTTTCTTCCCAGGAAAGCTGGGAAACCAGAGCCCACACAGCCTGCCCTCCAGCCTTACCTGGCCTAGTCTCCGCTGGGGCCACCGCCCGCGCCTCCCCGAGCGCCCCCAGCTCCGCCTGGCCCCCCGGGGCCGGGGCCCTTCCGGCCACGCTCTCCACTCTTTATCTTCTTCCTCGCCATGTGGCCCCGGAAACTCGCCTGGATTTTAGCAGCGGCCGCATTGGCACCAGGATCGTCCAGCGGGATGTCTAGAATGTCGTCGTCTGGCTTGGAGCAGGCGCTCTCCTGGGGATGGGACAGAGGTTCTTTTTTTGTTTTTTGGTTTTGGTTTTTTTTTTTTTTTCCTCCGGTACCGGGAACCGAACTCACGACCCTGTGCTTGCCTGGTAGGAGCTTTTGCCGCTGAGCTAAATCCCCAGCCCCTGGGACAGAGGTTCTTGTGGGGTGACTGGATGGAGACTCCGCGGGGCTAGGTTAGAACTAGAGCCCTGAGGGCCCTAAGACAGGACGACATGGGTGGGAGGCGAGGGAGCTGCACCTGGACGTGTGTGTGTTTTCTCCCGGGCAGCAGCAGGTAAAGAGGAAGGGTCAGGGCCGGGTGGATGCAATTGTGTACCCAACTCAAGGAAGAGAAGTGCGTGGTGGAATGGGACACAAGAAACCCAACATTCCTGTTAGGGAATGAGCGGAGGGTGGGATTGGGGGAGCCAGGAAAGATGCAGCAGGCACTCTGGAAGTGGCCATCCATCCCCCTGCTTGCAGAGGGGGCCTCTAGCTCAGAAGGACCCCTTCCCACTCCAAAGTTCCCTGGGGAGAGGAAGCAGGAGACCCAGAAGGACAGCCTTTCCCTGGGTAGATCTGCACCGGAACTCATCACTGGAATTAGGGAGAGGGCGGGGCCACCGCTCTGCTCTGGGAGTCAGCCAGCCCCACTGGGGGACACAGGTCCAGAGACTGTTTTCCCATTTATCCTCTATTTGCTACCGTTCCCCAGGTTGAACGAAAAACAGAAGGGAGGAGACAGTCTGGAAGAAATTGACAGAGAAAATGCGTCACTTAAAAAAGAAACAAAACAGAAAGACAAGGAAATGATCAGCAGGAGCAAGAAGCCCTTTCCTTGTGGGAAGAAAGGAATTAGGACAATAGCTACCATTTAAGCAGTTACTTTATTCCAGGTGAAATGACATAGTGTTTCACAGACATTATTTTATTTAACCCTCAACAATAAAATGATGACGAACCTTTTTAATATTACGCTAGTTTACCAAGATAAAACCCGTGACCAGAATGTTTGAAAAACTTATGGGAGTTGTAGACAGTTATCAGTGGATGAAAGATTCAAACCTCCGTACATCAGAGCCCCAGATGCAGCCCAGAAAGGCTCTGTGCAAGTCTTGGGCAAGTTGTTTCATCTGTTCCTACCTTAGTGCCTTCATCTGAAAAATCAAGATAATAATATCCACCTCTAAGGATTGTGGGGAAGAATTAGCATGATACGCACCAAGTTTTTGGCATAATCTAGTTACTCAGTAAAAGGTAGCTATATGATTGTTCTATATAATAATATTAAATTGATCAAAATAGTTGTCTCTGTAGGCCCAAAGTATCCACATGAGTTTCACATAATTCAACCCAAAAATAGAATCACATACCACATAATGACGTTTTTGTTTTTGTTTTTTTTTTGGTACCAGGAATTGAACTCAGGACCTTGCACTTGCCAGGCAGATGCTTATGCCACTGAGCTATATCCCTGGCCCCACATAATGACGTTTTGGTCAATGACAGGATATATAATGATGTCCCATAAGATTAGATCACCTAGAGTTGTCATAGTTTGTATAATTATGCTGTCATGCTCTCAGGGATGATAACTGCTTAACGACACTTGTGTTTTTGGAGACAGAGTCTTTTTTTTTTTTTTTTTGACGGAGTCTTGCTATGTAGTACAGGCTGGCTTTGAACTTGTTTATGTAGCCCAGGCTGGCCTTGAATTCATGGCGATCCTTCTGCCTCAGCCTCCAAAGTGCTGAGATTACAGGCATGCACTACCATGCCCGCTTGGAGACAGTCTTGCTGTATAGTCCCGGCTGATCTTGAACTCACTTTGTAGCCCAGGTTGGGACCTGCAGCTATTCTGCCTCAGCCTCCTGAGTGCTGGGATTATAGATATGCATTACTACACCCACCCTAAGGACACATTTCTCAGAACATGTCCTCATCATTAAGGAATGTGAGACTGTAATCAGACCCATTGGTACATACATCTGACAGCCTGCGCCAGCTGTAAGTAGAATGAATGGGTTAGGGAATTGATGACATTGATTTCAGAGGCCAGGCTCTAGAACAGAGGGTCTCAGCCCCTGATCCTCTTTGTATCTTAACATTACTTATAATATCAATGTGAACTGGGGTGAGGATGGTTACTATGAAGTTAGCTGGACATTGCTCCTTTGGTCTTGGGCTTTTGGCCTCTAGGAATTTGCTTTTATTTCCTTCCTTTTCTTTTCTCCTTCCTTTTTCCTCCCTTCCTCCCTTCCTCCCTTCCTCCCATGGTATTGAGGATGAACCTAAGACCTTTCCCCTGAGCTGCATGCCCAACTCTTTTTTTCTTTGTTTGCCTGCTTTTTTGTTTTTTGAGGCAGGGATTCTCAATGTAGTCCAGGCCGGCCTTGAACTCATTATGTAGCCCCAGGCTGGTCATGAACTCTCCTGCCTCATCCTCCCAAGTGCTGGGATTACAGGTGTGTGCCACCATGCTTAGATTCTTTTTGTATTTTTTATTTGGAGACAGCATCCTACTGAATTGCCCAGGCTGGCTTCTACATTTCTTTCTTTCTTTTTTTAATCTTTTTGAGACAGGGTCTCACTATGCAGTTCAGGCTGGCCTTGAGCTCACTTTGTAGTCGAGGCTGGTCTCGAACTCGCAAAGATCCTCCTGCTTCAGCCTCCCAAGTGCTGGGATTACTGGCATGTGCCACCACGCCTGGCTTGGCTTCTACATTTCAATCCTCAGCCTTCCAATCCTCAGCTGACATTTCAAATGTCAGCCTTCCAAGTAGCTAGGATTACAGGCCCCGATACCTGGCTGCTTTCATTTTTTGTGTGTTTTTTTGTTTTTTTGAGACAGGGTCTTGCTATGCAGTTCAAGCTGGACTTGAGCTCGCTTTGTAGCCCAGGCTGGCCTTGAACTCACAAGGATCCTCCTGCCTCAGCCTCTTGAGTGCTGGGATTATGGGTGTGCACCAACATGCTCAGATTTGCCTTCATTTCTTGCCTAAGTATGTCCATTGCTTTCATGGTCTTTTTCTTCTCAACATTAAGATGACTAAGGTTCTATTCAGTTCTATTCTTGCCTTCACCTGGCCAGCAGCTATCCAGTTGTCGGAACTGGACAGAGTCTGAATGAGCCATTAGTGATCCTTTTCCCATCTGGACTTGGCCCAAGAGCACAAGTTTAAATACAGATATTTAAACCCAGGTTTATGAACACTCCCTCCGGAGCCAGGCTTCCTCAGGCTGTCCTCTTTCCTGGGCTTCATGGTTTTTCAGTCTGCTCTCAAGATGCCCACAATCAATTTAAACATCGTCACAAAGACTTACCAAGAGGCTGCTGTGGGTTGGAATGGACTCAAACACTCTTTTTGCTCTTCCCAGATCTAGAGGTCTCCCTACATCTTATTCTTCACCTAAAACCCAAACTAACTCCTTTGTGTTCTTTCTTAGAGCCCAAGTCTTTCTTGGGTAGTCTCAGGGAACAGTGAAGCCTCCCCAAAGAAGGCAACAACCATAAAAAAATCATTTCAGTCTCATCACTCCTCCTTGGGCTTACAGCTGTGGAGGTGTAGTGGGTGGTGAGCAGAGGAAGGGGTGTCATATTCAACTCTGCTAAGGTCCAACCTGCTGTCATCACCCACCTTAGCTGTATCCAGAATGGAAACCTAGAACAACAGGCAAAGACACTCCTGATGCCCTATGCCGCTCCACAGTCAGCTTCCTCTCCCTCTAGCTGAATTCTGAGGACCAAGCTGCTAGGCAGCCTGTCCACAGGCAGAAATGAAGGAGGATGAAAGGAATCCCGGAAGGGGCTTCTTAGTCATGGTCCCTGGCCGGTCCCTTCCAAAGCCAAGACTGATGGTTGTTCCTGAGAGCTCTGCATGAACTGGGGGACGTCAGGGAGGAAAGGGGATGTGGGAAGCACACCGATCTGGAAAGCAGGAGCTGTGGTTCTAGTCCCTAGATGAATAAAGTCTGCTTCAGCCCACAAATCCTAACAGCTTTAAGAATTAAGGGTACTTGCTACCCATCATGTGTGAGGCTGTTTGTTAAGAACTTTGGACAATTTACCTTATTTAAATTCCATTTTAGAAGTCAGGAAATAGCCTCAGAGATATTTTATAACTTCCCTAAGGTGGAACAGACTGCCTCAGGGCAGGCAATTATTTCTATGCATTCTGCTAAACCCAAGTCAACTATATCAAACAAAAGAAAAGACGAGTAAAAAAGAAGTTTCTTAGCCTTTTCATATTAAATGAATGTAGCAAAGTTATATTATGGCCCTGTAAAACAGCCACTAGAACACCTGAATCAACAGCTCTTAAAAAATTACTCTCAGCCTGGGGTTGTAGCTCAGTGGTAGAGTGCTTGCCTGGCATGCATAAGCCCTGGGTTTGATCTCTAGCCCTGCAAAAAAACAGAAAGTGAAAACCACCACTACCACCCCCACAACCATCACCACCACCACCAAAATAGTCTTAGAAAAAGCAGATCTGTTTTCTTAGTCATTTCTGTCTATGATTCCTCACCAAGGGGACAGAAAGGAATAAGGCTGGACTAGAATTTTCCCAAACACTAGGTGGTTGTCCAAGAGAGCCCCAGAATGAAAGGGGAAGCATCACACCGTTCTTCCTGTGTCCCAGCTCCTTACCAGGGCTGGGCCCCAACCCTCCACAGTCTGGACCCAGTCTTGCCCTTATCACCCCTCCTCCCTCTCTCTGCCCCGCTGCACAGTCAGAGAATGGTGCTGTCTTGCTCAGCCCTTTGGGCCTGTGGACCTAGATCAGGAAAAAAGGGACAGCTCTTGTGTACCTGGTGCA